CCCTCATGTGGTAAAGGCATGGCCTGGGCTGTGGCAGATGTGGACAGGAGAGAATGCTGCTGCTGCTGCTGCTGCTCCTGCTGCTGTTGCTGCTGGGCAGGCTGCAGCTGTGCCGAAAGCTGCTGCTTCTTCTGCAGTTCCTTCTTCTCATGCTCCAAAAGGTCCTCAATGAGCAGGGGCAGCTCACTGGCCACCAGGGAGCTCTCCATTTTGTCCAGCTCATCCCCCGATGCTGTGTGTCCACCAGGCAGAGCCAGGCTCCCACTCTCCAGCTCAAACTTTTCCAGCAGGGAGGACCCTCCTGGGCCACTCAATGGGCTGGGGGCCAGTAGGTGGGCTGGTGGTCCTCCTGTGGCCCCAAAGGGGCCCTTTTCACTTGGGTGCCCACTGCTGGGAAAGGGGCCTGCAGCTATCCTTGTGTCCCGGCTGCTTATCACATTCTGTCCTGGCTTCAGCCCCGGACCCAGAGGAGCTGGGACAGGTGCTGGCTCAACCTTTGGGGTGGTGATGGTGAACTGGCAAGGGGAAGGGTGGCGCCCACCTTCCTCCACCTTAGTCTTCACTTCAGGGAGCCCTGGTGCCAGGCGAGACTCAGAGGCATCAGGGGGAGGGGCAGGACGCTCCTCGGGGCACAAGGGTCCTGGCTCCACCCCCCGCAGCAGGGCCTCTCGCTCAGCCTTTTCATTGGCAGACTCCACTAGCCTCAGATGCTCATTGAAAATGTCCTTCTTGTCCCCCGTGTCCAGCTCAGGGTCAGTGTAGGCCAGGAGGTCAAACTCGCCTCCGTTGAGCAGGTCGTCTAGGTGGGGGTCGTTCGTCTCCAGGTGTTCCAGGGTGCCCAGCTCATCATCACCCTTGGCTACGTCCACTCCCAGGCCTAGGTGAGCAAGCTCCTCATCATCCTCTAAGGCCTTGTGGGCATCGAAGTCATCATCCAGCTCAGAATCCTCACAGGGTAGCTTTCCAGCTTCCAGGGCCAGAGGAGGGGGGCGGCTAAGTTCAGTGCTCGAAGGGGGCCGGCTGACCAGCTCCAAGCTTGTGGACAGAGGGGGGCCCTTGGTGTGGGGCGTGGGATGGAGGCTGTTGCTCAATTCAGTGGCTGGCGGGGCTGAGGGTTTCTGGGGAGGAAGCCCTGATGCTGCCAGGCCTCGAAGTCCTTCCGGGACCAGTCGGTGGGGATCCTCACTTACAGCGTAAAAACGGGGTCTTTGAGGAGGGCCTTGGCCAGGAAATGGAGGACCCCCAGGGCCTAGTCCTTTTTGCACATTGTGCCGCAACTCAATGAACTGGGCGGGACCGGGTGGACCAGGCACTGGGTCACCAGGTCCAGGAAAGCGGGTGGGAAGTCCTGTCAAGGGGGAAGAACCTAGGGCTTGGCGGCCAAGTTCAGGCCCGGGAGCTGACGGAAAGCGAGTGGACATTGCAAGTCGCATGGAGGTGGCTGCTGTTGCTTGCTGCTGCTGCCACAGTTGCTGCTGCTGCTGTTGCTGCTGCTGCTTATTCCGGTACTCGGCCATGAGATTAGTGTGCTCCTTCTGTTGCTTTCGAACCTAGCAGGAAAAAGGGAGAGGTCAGCCTGCAGTCTGCGCACCCAGGCCACCCCTCTTCCCTGGCATCTAGCTGCTTCCCACCTGGTCCAGCTGTTTCTGGATCTTGCTTTGCTGCTCGGTGACCAGCTTGAGCTTCTCAGCATCAGCCTCTGGAAACTCCCGGCCAGCCTTTTTGGCGGTGCGCTGCTTGGCGCACAGAGCCTTCCGGGACTTGCGGTGTACGCCAATCTGCTCCTCTAGCACCTTCAGCTGCATCTGTAGGAGCTGTTGGGTGTGGAACAGCCACTCTTCATACTGCCGCTGGTCAGCCTCATCTGTGGGAGAGAATGGGCATCAGGGTCTGCAAGATGGCGATCCCAAGCCCTTTCCTTCCACACCCAAGCCACAGCCTTGTACCCTTTTCCCAGGTCCCCTACTCACTGATCACCCCCTGAGCAAACGTGGGTGGGTTGGGACGAGGCTGGGAGGGATCACTGGCACTGCGCTCCTACGAGAGAGACAGTTAGGGGGCTCATGTTCTGCATCAGACCCTAAGAAGGGTGGTCCAATGACACAGGATACAAATTTACCCCCACCTTGCCACTTACTTGGCCACTCCCAGCTGCCACATGGTTCTGCAGGTCATTGCCAGGACCCCCTGAGAGTCGCTGGGCTAGCAGTGACACTTGCTGCCTGGAGTCCACCAAAACAAAGAGGCTAAGTGTGGGCAGATGGGCAAGGGGAGAGGCAGGGAAGAGGTGGAACAGGTAAGGCCAAGTGTGAATCTTACCTGTTCATACCCGGGGCCACTCCAATGCTGCCCTGCGCCATCACTTTCTTGATGCCTTTCAAAGCCACCATTTTGGCTTTTGCAATCGGATCAATAATATCTTCTGCAGCAAATTTGTCTAGGTCTGGAAAGGGAAGAGCCAAGTGAGCTGGGTTGGGGTTGCCCTGCTTCCCTCCACGTCTGGACTTGGGGGTAGGCCACCGGGGAAACTGAGTTCTGTCGTTCACGGGGCCTGGACCCTTCCTAGCACAGTGCTAGGGAGAAGCAAGTACTCAATAAACATCTGCTGATGAACTACGAGGGGGCTTGAAAGAGTCTGTGGAAAAAAGGAAGTGAAAGATAATGAAAAGTTTCCATACTGTTTCTGAAGCTCTCCTTTGTCATTTTACCTGTAAGCCTCAGTTTACTACTCCTCTTTTGGCATGAGCTCATGGGCCCTACACTGCCAACCTGTGAGCTTGCTGAGCCTGTCCTGTGCGACGAGAATGTGAGTGCTCCTTATGACCAGGAAAGCACTCTTCCGAGTGAGTGCTCTTACAGCGCAACCCAAGAACCCAAGACAATGTTCCAGGCATGACGTGTACCATCCATAACCCCTCCCCGCCTGTCTAGGATGCGGGGTGGAAAAGGAGACATGGAATCCAACAACTTAAAATCTCCTGCCTATTCTGCACTTTGTGTATTTCTTCAGTGCTCAGAAAACTTATCTGACTGCCTACTTCCTATCAAACTCACTGCCATCACGCGACTTGTCAGTCCCATGGGATAGAGTAGAACTGCCCCCCTTTCGGTTTCTGAAGCTGTAAATCTTTATAGGGACAGAAAGCCTCAGTTTTTCTCCAATGGAGTGGCTGGTGGGTTCAAACTGCTGACCTGTGGTTAGCAGCTCACCAGGCAAAACTAATCAAACCTCCGCTCCTGACATCTGAAACAATAAACTGTTAACTGTACCAGAAAGCGGGGTTCAAACTACATGACCTTGGGCAAGTCACTTAATCTCCATGCCTGTTTCCCCTGAGGCCAAATGAAGATAAAAGCACCTACTTAATGAGTCCCTACGACAATGGTAGTCGGTTTGGCTTTTTGGTTTTAACAAGTCCTTGGGTTCTAAAGGTGGTTAACGTGTGCAGCTGTGAACTAAAAGGTTGGCAACTCAAGTCCACCACCCAGAAGCACCTCAGAAGAAAGGCCCGGTGATCTGCTTCTTAAAAAAAAAACCCAAACAAAACAAAAAAAAACCCAGTCACCGAGAACCCTGTGGAGCACCTTTGCTGAGAGATACATGGCTCACCAGGGGTCAGAATCGACCTGGCTGGAACTGGTAAGGAGAGTGTGCTGTGATGATAAGTCAGACAATGACAGCCAAACACTCAGCACACTACTTAGCAAATTGCAATTACTACATAGATGTTGTAACAGTTTGAGGTCGTCCTCAATCTCAGCCCCTTTCCTGCCTCCTTCTCCACACTCAGTGTCCCTCTTTCCACAAAGTCGACTCCAGGCTGATCATTTCACTCTTGTTCTGTAAACACCCAGTAGCTTTTCCTACCAACGTAGCCTCACTCAGGTCCTGGCACCCAGCTTGGCTACTTTCTCTTTGACCACTTTTCTCCAAGTTCTAAGCTTTCAGTCTCATCACAACTATGAACCCTGTGCTAATCGGGTTTCATTCATGCAGTCATTCAAACCTCTTCTGAGTGGTGGTTATACAAGGTGGCTTCAAAATGTTCATGGGAAAATGGAATTAAGATATGATGTACTTTTTTCAAGCAGCCTTTTGAAGGCCCCCCTGTATGTCAGGAACTATGCCCTCCTTTCCTGGAAGCTAACGTGCTTTGTGCCTGTGCCACTAAGATGGTCCTGTATCCTTTCCCCCTTAACTAGCGATTGCCTTAGCTCGCTGGCGCCAGAGCCCCATTTGGTGGTAACTACCACCTGGCCGCAACCGAGGGTACCTGTGTCTGGGAAGAAGCTGTTGGCCAGCTGCTGCTGCATTGCCAGCTGCTGGGGCTTCATGCACATGGAAGGTGGCACAGTGCTCATGGGCTTCTGGGTCAGCACTGACTGTGGGTTTTGCTGGGATACCAATCCTGCTTGCCCTCCATGCTGTCCACTTAGCATATGCCCTTGGTTGGACACCATGGCCATGGAGGGGGCCAGGCGCTGTGGGAGGGCATGAGGTGATGGCTGGGTGGGCATCAGTGGCTGGGCCAAGCCTGGCTGTCGTGTGCCTCCAAGACCAAGGGCAAGCTGCTGTTGGGGTCCAGCCAAATTGGGAGAAGAGCCCTCATGTGGTAAAGGCATGGCCTGGGCTGTGGCAGATGTGGACAGGAGAGAATGCTGCTGCTGCTGCTGCTGCTCCTGCTGCTGTTGCTGCTGGGCAGGCTGCAGCTGTGCCGAAAGCTGCTGCTTCTTCTGCAGTTCCTTCTTCTCATGCTCCAAAAGGTCCTCAATGAGCAGGGGCAGCTCACTGGCCACCAGGGAGCTCTCCATTTTGTCCAGCTCATCCCCCGATGCTGTGTGTCCACCAGGCAGAGCCAGGCTCCCACTCTCCAGCTCAAACTTTTCCAGCAGGGAGGACCCTCCTGGGCCACTCAATGGGCTGGGGGCCAGTAGGTGGGCTGGTGGTCCTCCTGTGGCCCCAAAGGGGCCCTTTTCACTTGGGTGCCCACTGCTGGGAAAGGGGCCTGCAGCTATCCTTGTGTCCCGGCTGCTTATCACATTCTGTCCTGGCTTCAGCCCCGGACCCAGAGGAGCTGGGACAGGTGCTGGCTCAACCTTTGGGGTGGTGATGGTGAACTGGCAAGGGGAAGGGTGGCGCCCACCTTCCTCCACCTTAGTCTTCACTTCAGGGAGCCCTGGTGCCAGGCGAGACTCAGAGGCATCAGGGGGAGGGGCAGGACGCTCCTCGGGGCACAAGGGTCCTGGCTCCACCCCCCGCAGCAGGGCCTCTCGCTCAGCCTTTTCATTGGCAGACTCCACTAGCCTCAGATGCTCATTGAAAATGTCCTTCTTGTCCCCCGTGTCCAGCTCAGGGTCAGTGTAGGCCAGGAGGTCAAACTCGCCTCCGTTGAGCAGGTCGTCTAGGTGGGGGTCGTTCGTCTCCAGGTGTTCCAGGGTGCCCAGCTCATCATCACCCTTGGCTACGTCCACTCCCAGGCCTAGGTGAGCAAGCTCCTCATCATCCTCTAAGGCCTTGTGGGCATCGAAGTCATCATCCAGCTCAGAATCCTCACAGGGTAGCTTTCCAGCTTCCAGGGCCAGAGGAGGGGGGCGGCTAAGTTCAGTGCTCGAAGGGGGCCGGCTGACCAGCTCCAAGCTTGTGGACAGAGGGGGGCCCTTGGTGTGGGGCGTGGGATGGAGGCTGTTGCTCAATTCAGTGGCTGGCGGGGCTGAGGGTTTCTGGGGAGGAAGCCCTGATGCTGCCAGGCCTCGAAGTCCTTCCGGGACCAGTCGGTGGGGATCCTCACTTACAGCGTAAAAACGGGGTCTTTGAGGAGGGCCTTGGCCAGGAAATGGAGGACCCCCAGGGCCTAGTCCTTTTTGCACATTGTGCCGCAACTCAATGAACTGGGCGGGACCGGGTGGACCAGGCACTGGGTCACCAGGTCCAGGAAAGCGGGTGGGAAGTCCTGTCAAGGGGGAAGAACCTAGGGCTTGGCGGCCAAGTTCAGGCCCGGGAGCTGACGGAAAGCGAGTGGACATTGCAAGTCGCATGGAGGTGGCTGCTGTTGCTTGCTGCTGCTGCCACAGTTGCTGCTGCTGCTGTTGCAAGGGTAGGGGCCCAGGATAGGGCGCTCGCTGATAGAAGGCCTGGGATCCTCCCACCAGTTGTCTGCGAGAATACACAGTAGTCAGGAAGGTAAAATCAAGATGGGAGAGAGGACGCAGACGGGCTAAGGGCAGCGGGGTGGGGGAATGAACACAGTGAAGACAGGGTGGGGCGGGCGACACTCAGTGAGATCGGAGGACTGGAGTTGGAGTAACGGGCAAACTCTGAGGAAGTTGGAACAACAGGAACATCTGTCCCTGGATTGATCCGCAGGGAGGGAGGGCCTGGACTTCCCCCTCCCCCCCAGCTGGGGAAGCCACCTGCCTCAGTCCCCACCATCTCAAAGGAAAATCCTGCTCTTAAAGACTCCTCTTTGACCATGAAAACTTGGGCGTTGAAGGAATTAATAAGGCACATTAAAATGGAAATGGTTAAGAAGTCCCTAGCACCCCCCGACCTGCAGCAGGAATAGTTTGGGAAAAGTCTGCAGCTCTCTTTAGGGTGGTCCCAGGACCAGCAGTGTGTTAAACCCAATACTCACTGCCATGGAGTCCATTCTGACGCACTGCGACCCTATAAGGACAGGGTAGAACTGTCCTAGTGGGTTTCTGAGACTGTACGCCTTTATGGGAGTACAAACTCTCATCTTTCTCCAGTGGAGCAGCTGTTGGTTTCAAACTGCTGACCTTATAGTCAGCAGCCAAATGTGTAACCACCATGCCACCAAGGCTCCACCCCAAGGCCCACAGAATTAATTAGAACCAGCTTGGGGGTGCTGTGACAAGCCCTCTGGGTGATTAGGATGTGTACAGTGGGAGAACCAGTGAGCCCCTGTAGTCTTACCGGCTGCTCACATCCATAGAGGAAGGGGTGGCTGGTGGAGGTGGCCGGGAGAGCCGGTCATCACTGGGGAAGGCCCCTGGCCCCAGGACAGGCCCAACCAGCTTGCTCTGGGGCAGTCCCACAAGGCTGCTCTTGTCCTAGGAGAAATGGAGGTGAGGCTGCCACTTTCGGTAGCCTGCTGCCAACACTTTGCCAGGCCCTGCTACCCCACCTACCTGGGCCCCAGTGAAGGGAGTCTGGCCTCGACTCAGCTGCTCAAAGGCAGGGCTGTTGGGCTCAGCGCCCCAGTTGCCTGGGGGCCCCACTGCCCCTGCAGCTGCCGCAGCTGTTTCCTTCTCCTGCCGCAGGGTGTTGCGCTGGATCTGCTGCCGAATCAGCAGCTCCCGTAGCCGCTGGCGCTGTACAGAAAGAACAGAGAAGAGGGGCGAAGTAAGTTCTACTCCGGACATGGGGCAGGGGGAGCCACACAGTGGAGCCCTGGGAACTCAGCTCCAGGCTGCCGACTCACCTGCCGTTGCTTCTCCAGCTCTGTCTGGCTGAGGCTGGGCATGCCTGAATCCTGGGCACCTGGGAGTTCAGGTGCCGCTACGGAGCTGCCCATTCCAGCCCCTGGGTCTTCTCGCTTCTCGGCTGGAGAGGTGATCCCTGCCCGCTGCGAGGCTCCGTGAGACAGGTAGGGGAGGGGTCCGTCTGGTGCCGGTGGTGGCAGGACGGATGGGGGTCGGAGTGGGGCCAGCCCATAGCCCTCTCCTGTGCACCCACTGCTGGGCGCCAGGGGGCTGCCTGACGGGTGAAAGTTCCCTGTGGCTGCGGCGTAGTTTGTGCTTTGGGGCTTGCCCAAGGTGGTTCCAGGCCCCAAATGGCTATTGATCCCATGGGGGGGTGGAGGGAGGCCAGACTGAGGGGCAGGGGGCTTTAGGGAAGACTCCCCTACTGCCTGAGGGAAAGTAAATCGCATGGGAGAGGGGGTGCCCACAAATGCACCTGTCCCAGGGGACCGGGCAAAGTTAGGGGGCTGCCCACTTGGGACCTTGGCATGGAGCTCACCTGCCGGCCCTGAGGGCAGGGCTGCTGGGAAGCCCCCAGCCCCCAGCGGAGTGTGGGCTAGAGGCCCAGCCTTGAAGGCAACTTCAGGGGGCTGGGGCCGGGGCGGCTTATGCAACGGGGCAAATGGGTCTCGGGACTGAGGGCGTGAGGGTGGGCGAGAATAGGGGTCAGGGGACTGGAAGCGAGGGGTAACGGGAGAGGGGCAGAAAGCCTCAGCAGACAAGGGGCGGGGTGTCAGTGGAGACTGGGAGCTGGACTGGGACTGAGGACTGGCGGGAACTCGGGAGAAAGGGTCAGAGGGCAACGAGCGCGGGGGCAGGGCACAGCAGCTCTCAGGGGGTGGTGGCTGGGGCCGAGGCGTCAGGGGGTGCTGGGCATACGGGTCAGGGTAAGGGCCAGGACGGAAGATATCTGGGTGGCTGGGGGGAGAAGGGGCCAGAGCCTGGGCAGGGGACGGCTCCTGGGGCCGCAGGCCCAAGCCTGGGCTCTGGGGCTCTACCTGAGATGCCCGAGGGGTGAGAGGGGCTTTGAAGACATCAGGCGCCTTTAACTCCAGGCCACCTAGGTGGGGGCCTGAGGAGGGTGAGTCAACAAAGGCCAGGTTTGGGGGCCCATAGCTAGGAGAGGTGCCCCCAAGCTCTTCCTTCTTCACCTCCAGAGCCTTCCGGGTCTCCGTGAAAGGTGGGGGTGAGAGCAGGGACTCAGAAGCCTTGCCTCCCCCTGCCCCTCCCCCTGGGCTCTCAGGCACGGGCAGGCTGTCCAGTGAGGGACAGCGGGGTTTGAGGAAGGGGTCAGGTGTGGAAGGCTGGTGCCGGGGGGTGCCGGGTGGAGTCGTTTGGAATTCCCCTGGCTGTCCAGCCCCAGCACGAGATGAGGCGCCCATCGTCGGGGGCTGTGCAGGAGCCCCAGTCGGGCTGGGATAGGGGGGGTAGGCAGGTGGTGCCGTGGGGAAGCGGGGCTCCAGGGTGTAGGCGGGGGTCAGTCCAAAGGGGTCCTGCGAAGGCACTTGGGCGGGCACCTGGGGCGGGAGCTTGAGGAAGAGCTCACCGGGCGAGTCGGGGCCGGGCACAGTGCCTGCCGGTGGCTTCAGAAACCCGTCCGCAGAGGTAGACAAGCCGGCGGGGGTAGTGGGACTGCCAATGAAAATGGTGGGGGCAGCAGCGGGGGGCGGACTGCCCAGTGCCCCAGGCTGAGGGGGAATGCGGAGATGTAGGGCCGGTCGGTCAGTCTTGCGGGCTATGTCGCCCACCTTGTTGGTCTGCTTGTTGATCTGGCTCTCAGCCTGCTATGGGGAGACCAGCACAGACCAGTCAGGCTGCTGTGAATAGGCCTCAGGTGCCCTCTAGCCTCCGGGCAGCCACCCACTACAGGACCTTAGGGACTCACCTTCTGCACCTTGTTAATGCGGTGAGCCGCCCGGTTATCTTTGGCCTTTTGCTGTGGGACACGAGACACAGCATCAGGCCATCAGGCTGGGGTGCAGCCTCTCCCCCAGGCCCTGAGGCCTCTCTATGTCACTCACACTCCCTACCCAGAAGCTGATCCCTCTGGCCCAGCGGCTTCAGGAGTAGGGGACAGGAGAGAACTGCGGTGAATTTCCCTAAGACACAGCCCCCAGGCCCCACCCCCAGTTCAGTTTCCCCATGAGGAGCCATGCTCCTTCCTGTCTCACCAGGTAGGGAGCTTTGTCAGCAGCTGGAACCTTCCTCCAGAGCTTCATGATCTGTTTACACCGGCTTGACCAGTCTGCAGGTCAGAAGAAATGAGTTAGGGAAGACAAGGTCCACCCCACCCCCACCCACCTGCGTGGCCAGGTCTATTGACCCCTCTCACAGGTACCTGGGTAATCTTGCTTCAGATTGGGAAAGTTAATGTTGGCATAGAGCACAGGCGAGATGGTGGAGAGCTGGCCCAACTCCTCGTCTTTCTCCCAGCGCTGAAGACTCCGCTGGTTGTAGGAGAGCCCGTCGCCCTCACCTTCTGTGGTGGGGGTGGTGGGGGTAGAGGGCGTGGTGCCCCCTGAACCCGTCCATGGGCTGTCTGGCTCCCCGGGTTCCGGGCTGAAGAAGCCCCCGCGCTCCCTGGGGCGCAGGGGCAGAGAGTCACAGGGGGCAGGGAGACCAGACTCCACTCAGACCCAATGCCCAGAGCCAAGGGGCCCCCAGGATTCCAAGGGAGGGAAGGCATGAACCCAGCCACAGGGAAAAGACCACAGGAACTGCCCACGAAGGGGCAGCATAGATACCAACCTACTATCCAAAAATGGGGACTGGCAGAGGCCAGGGTAGGAATCCATTGGGCTGTTGGAAGGGAGATTGCCCAAAGGGAGTCCTCCTACAAGAGAGAAGGGAGTAACCGGCCCATCCAAGGGACAGCTTGGTTCTACCTGGCCACCCAGTCTTCACACCACTCTTCCTACACCACCTTGGAGAAAGGGTCTCTGCAGCGGGGTGCGGCTGCCATCCAGGCCAGGGGTCCCACAGGCCAGGTGCTGCTCTCGTTCTGAACCCAGAACATCCTTGAAGAGCTGCTGCAGGTCCTTGGATTCTATCTTGGGCAGTTCTGTGGAGGAAAGGAACACGAGACATCATGGGTCTACAAGGTTAACGGCTCGGGAAGGTCCCAGGACTCGCCCCCCAAGATGCTATACAGACAGCAGTCCCAGGGGTAGGCCCGACTCCTTCTCCCAGAGAGGACCCTTATACACAATGAAGTGCGGGTCACAGCCTCACCTTCTGTGGGGATCCTGTCTAAATCAGAGCTAAGCATCCCTTCACCCGGGGTGCCTGGCTTCTCAGGGTCACTGGGCACTGGGGATGCCTTTACGCCCCCATCCTCGGGTCCTGCAATTTCCAGGAGAAACCCATCAGCCAAGGCTGATATAGAAGTACCACACCAGCCACCTGGAACCACACAGGGACACAGCATCGTTTCCAGCCCCCAACCCTGCCAGTGCTCAGGGACAGAGCAGGGTGACACAGGCAAAGCTAGGACAGGGCAGAGTCCCACAGCAGCCCTCACCTGGTGTATCAGCCTTGCCCTCAAGGCCACGGGATTCTTCATCTGCAACGTCTGGACCATCATCTCCTAGAAGAACAGTTCCACTCTAGTCTGTGATGCCCTGCGCTGGGCTCAGGTGGGTCCAGCTGGAGGCCAGTTCATTCCTCACCAAATACCCTTGGCAGCTCCACGTAGACTGACCTTTCTGCAAGGTGGGGGGCTCCTTCCTTTCTGGGCCCCCATCCCCTTTGGCTTTGGGGGTTCCCAGTCCAAATCCTGGCCGGCTCACCCCAACTGCAAAGAGGGCCTTCCGGCTCAGGTCCAGCAGCTCCTTCCCAAAGAAGGCCTCCTGTGAAGGAAGAGAGAGAGGTGCCTCCTCACACTCAGCAGGAGCCCCAATGCCCTCACTCCCCGCTGGGCCACTCAGCTCCTCAGCCCCACCTGCAGGTAGGCAGGGAACATGTCCTCGAGCTTGCTCTTCTTGCGTCCACGGCGCTGCTGCTTCTTCTTCTCATCCCCATCAGCCAAGCTCTGCTCCACGGTGCCCTCTGCAGGCAGGTCGGCCGGGATCACTGAGGACAGGTCCCGAGGGTCAGTTCCTCTGGAGACTCTGGGAGAGCAAACTGCTCCTCATTTGGCCTAGTGACACTTTCTGCCTGCCCTCTCCCCTGACCCTCTCTTGGTCCTTGACCTCACTGGCTCTGTCCTTGGGACCTGAGATCCCTACCTACTCCCAGGCCCCAGGGGCACCCTCACCCGTCTCACCCTCGTCCGGCTGCCCATCACCACTCAACACCTCCGCCTGGGCCGCAGGCCCCTTTTTCATACGTGTATGGGACTTCCGCTGTCGCACCATGAAGCCACCGATGCCTATGACCAAGCAGAGCGGAAGATGAGGACCGCTGGGGGTCTGCTCCTCCCACCTCCTGCCCTGTCCCAGGGTCTCACCAGGTCGGTATGGTTTGCGCTTGCGCTTTTTGCTTTCCTCAGTCTCCTCCTTGCCGGGCTCTACATCCGGGCTGGCGGGGCCCTCCAGTTTAATCTCGCACTCCATGTGTTCCACCCCCCCTGCACACAGGGACGAAAGGGCGGCGCCATCAGAGGCCAATCTGTTTAACCTTGTCCCAACAGCAGAGAGCTGATACGAACAACTGTGAGGCCGCCCCCATCTGACCCCCAGACCCCAACCTTCACAGGCCCACTCCCACCACTGTGCACTCCCCAAGGTTCCCCAGCCCAACCTTCACCCTTGATCAGCTCATCCGTGTCCAGGTCTCCATCCTTCTTGTCATCGGGGCCAATGGCATCCGAGGGCTCAGAACCGTCCAGCCCCACCTCGCCTGGCAGGCCAGGCCGCCCCCGCCGCTGGCGCCGCTTGTGCAGGGGGGACATGGTCAGGTTGCGCAGTACAGCCATGCCAGTTTCCGTCAGCCACACACCCTCGAAGCGAAAATACTGAGGCTCTGCACAGGGGGAGGAGCAGTATGAGGCTGGGGAGACAGCTCCAGGAACACTAGGACTGCAGATGTGCATTAGCTTGAGAGCCGCCCCAACCCCTACTCCCCACCCCACCCCTACCCGCCAGAACCAAAGCAGTGTCAGGAGACAGTACAAAGTCCAGCCTGAGATGTGAGACCACCAACGGGTGCTAGCTGAGGCCTGGGTTCTCCATCCAAGGTGATCCAGAGACAGACCACTGCTGTAAAAGCCTGCCTTTGCTTTTGAATAACCCTAAAGTCAAGGAGCGCTGCTGGCGTAGTGGTCATGCATTGGGTGGAGATCTGCAAGATCAGCAGTTTAAAGCCACCAGCAGCTCCACAGGAGAAAGATGAGACTTTGTACCCAAGTTAAGTGACAGTCTCAGAAACTCACAGGGGCAGTTCTACCCTGCCCTATAAGGTCACTGTGAGCCGGCATCGACTCGATGATGGAGTTTGTTTTTTTTAACACTAGAGCCATGGTTCTCAACCTGTGGGTCTCGACCCCTTTGGGGATTGAACAACCCTGAGTTAGTTAATTGTGCCAACCTGGCTGATAAACACATGTGGGGCTAATTGAAAGGCGGAGGGATAAATGGGTGGTGAGCCTCGCCTTTCTAGTTCTTGGGTCTCTTGCTTTGTGATGGTCGCACCAGGGTGCAGCTGCCTTAGCAGTTCCCTGCTTCAGGTTGCAAGACTGACTTCCTACAAGACATCCCCAAGGAGAAGCCACATGGACCTATCCCGATGCAGCCCTGGTAGCTGGAGCAGCCTTGTGGAGACCCCTGCTTATTCATTCACTGACTCAGCTTTCCTCCTGCAGTCGGCATCATTGCCTCTGTTTTGTGAGGTGGGGGACTTTGTGGACTGGTGTTGGGTAAATGGGTTCATGTTGGACTTGTGGGTTTGGGCAGCATTGGGTTGGGCTGTTTTCGTGATGCACACTTTCTTTACATAAAACTCTCTTATACATGAGTTGCTGTGGATTTGTTTCTCTAAAGTACCTAGACTAATACAAACCCTTTCACAGGGGTCACCCAATTCATAACAGTAGCAAAATTACAGTTATGAAGTAGCAACGAAAATGTTATGGTTGGGGGTCACCAGGACATAAGAAACTGTATGAAAGGGTCACGGCATGAGGAAGGTGGAGAACCACTGGGTTAGTCACCACAATCCTCTCCAGTCCTCTGGGGCCTGAAGGGCCCCTAGTTTAAGAATGGTGGCACAGTGACTGAGATGCCAGAAGCAGAGTCCACATCGTGAAGGGAAACACCCCGGCAGCCCGAGCAGGAGACAGGCCACAGTGCCTGAAAGGAGACTGATGGGAAACTGGAGGGAGGCTTGTGTTCTGGGAGAGCTTCCCCACTAACTTACTGAGGGGCCTCAACCTCTCTGGGTCTTAGTGGATGCCTTAAGGGGAAGAGAGGGTTCGGTGGTTGAGCCTAGAGCAGGCAGAAGGTGTCTACGGTCTCCTCTGACTTTGACCGTCGCAAGGTTTGGGACTCACCTGGCTCTTTCACCTTCATAGGCACCAGCTCTGGAGGAGCAACAGGAGCTGTGGAGAAAAGGCCCAAACCGAGGACGCTTGAGGACTCATCCCAAAGGAAGGCCGCCTGGCCCGAGTCCTCCTGTGCCCACGTAGCCCTGGACTCACCCACAGGCTTTACCACGTAGGGCTGGCAGGAGACACAGTCAAAGCCCTCATCTGCAGCCTGCTCCACCTCCTCCTCTGTGAAGAGGCTCTCACAGCCAGCGTGCATCCACCTAGGACAAGGCGAGACAGATGAGGCCAGGCATGGCAAGACTGGGAAGTGGGGTGGGGAATGGGGGTGACATATGGGGAAGGGAGGTCCTCACCGTTCACAGTGGCGGCACTGGATGAGTAGGTCCTCCTCCACGTATGGGGCATGACAGATGGGGCAGGTCACCAGGCTAGCACAGGGCCCGCAGTGTGTATAACTATTCTGCCATTCACAGTGGAAGCCAGGGGTAGCAGCCCCACACTGCATACAGGAGACACACCTGTGGGCAAAGAAACTGACCCTCAACACTGAACCCACCCAAGAACCCCCAAGTCGACCTCACTGTCAACCAGGCGACCAGCCTGGCCTCCCACACCCAGCCCGACCTTCTCCACATCACATCCACCCTAAGAGCCTGGGCTCCGGCCTCTGAAGGGCCTGCTTACCACTTGCACTTCCAGCCACCTTTGGGCACGGTGAGCAGTGGGGGGTCCAGGCAGTATGTGTGGTAGCTGATGTCACAGTCGTCACAGAGCAGCAGGCGGGAGGGGTCCGAGGCCTGGCCGCATACCTCGCACACAATGCACTCCACGCACCGCCAGCCCTTCAGCAGCATCACTTTGGTGATCTGGTGTGGAAGACGGGATTGTTCAAGGCGCCACACGGAGGGCAGGGTGGGACTGCTTAGGGGAGGGGGCAACTTAGCGTGCAGGGGCTGGAGAACACCCAGCGCACAGGCGAGCCCTCCATTCTACACACACGGGAGGTGCATGCAGCATCCCCTCGGCTGCCAAACAGCAGCTCTGAACGGAGGCTCCCAAGGGTCCCTGTGGATCAAGTGACAGCATCCCTCTGCCACTGCTCACTGCTAGAGTGGAGTGGCAATCTTTCACTAGCCAGCCCCAGAAATGTAAGCTCAGGGATAAAACTAGGCTTCCTTCTCCAGTTTTTCTTGAATATTTAGGACCTGCTATGGCTGCAAGTTAATGTCAGCAGTGGATAAATTACACTGATATTAACCAAAAAGAAAAAGAAAAAGAAAAAAAATAATACCTTAGCAGACAATTCTGCTTGGGTTCAAAGCACAGCTTTCTCTGGTGGTACCACGTGGAGGTGCTAACTACAAGCCACTCCGTGAGAGAAACGCGGGGCTTTATACTCCCATAAAGAGGGACAGGCTCAGAAACTCACAGGGGTACCTCTTCCCTGTCCTGTAGGGTCGCTGTGAGTCGGAATCAGCTGGATGGCAGTGAGCTTGGTTTGTTTTTTCTCTTTGTGGTCTTATGCTCCTGATTTTACATTTTTATCCACAAACTTTCTCTGCACCAATTTGGTTACAGTGCACACGATGGGCTAGATGACACTAGATGCCTGCCTGGTCTACCACAGACCCACGAGGAAAACAGCCATGATTTCCAAAGCCCCTTTCCTTAAGATGGGTTTGATTTGTCACTGGAGACTGATGAATGATTTCCGTGGCCAGGAGCCACCTTGAGAACTGCCTGAACCCACTCCTCAGCCCACACCTCTTGGGCCCTGAACTCACCTTGCTGTTAACACAGTAAGGGTGGTAGCACTGAGAGCACTGCGAACAGGCAAGGAGGTGGCCCTCGGCGCCCCGGCCAAAGCTGCCGCATACCACACACATATCCTGAGGAAACACAGACAAGGCCAAGTCTAGCAGCTAGGAGTCTCGTTCCACTCAGGCCCAGCCAACTGACTACTATACTAACGTGAGACTAGTGAGACTGGAACGAAACCCCCCTGCACCCACCCAACCTGCCTTTCCCACAGCATGATACAAGGCACCACCAGACCGAGTTTCTCTTCCACCTGACCCCACCCTGCTGAACTGCTCCTTCCTAGTAGGTCACCTGGCTCACCTGGACAGGAAAGCTGAAGTCATATACCCTGAGCCGAGTAAAGGGAAGGAGGTGTGAAAAGAAGGCAAGGTTGAGCAGGGGGTGAGGGCCAAGAGTGGAAAGGAGGAGGTCGTGGAGTGACAAGTCACAGACATGCTACCAGCTTCGAGATCACTCAGGTCAATGTATGGAAGCTTCCGAGATGACAAGCTCCAATCGTGTAGAAACCCATCTGTCGTTTCACTGGTCTGTCCCGAGTCCTGAACTCAGTGCGAGGCTCCAGAGAGACTCAGTGGGACAGATTAACAACATAGCTCTGATTCCTCGCCAACTTTCTCATTAAGTGGTTATCCCCAAGAGTAGGTGTCTGGGTTTCCTCACTGCCCTGCCCACCAAAACACCCCACCCCCACTGTTGCCAGCTGAGGCCGGGGCTCCACCAGTCAGGTTCAGTACCTGCATCAGGACAAATTTGTCAGTGTTGGAGAAGAGAACCACGGTGTTCTGCATGGTGTCGTCGTCTTCTTCCTCTTCCTCTTTGCTGGGAGAACTATCGATATCAGCAACCTTATGGGCAGAGAGTTGTGCAAGGTGAGCCAGACAAATCTGCCCCAATTCAGTGCTTTTCCTTTTTGGTTCTGGGGGACGGAGGTGTGGACCCCTGGCTAAGCGGAAGACCAAGAGCCAGGCCTAAGCAGCAGTGGCAGCACATCCCAACTCTTAAACAGGGCCTCGGCCTGATGGCAGGCAGAGATTTCAAGTGGGCAGAAGGAGCACACACAGCTGGACAGGCCCTAGTCTAGTAAGCAGGTAGACAGTAGGAGTGCGGGGGCTGGCACGATCTATAGGGTGTGTAATTGCGAAGGGGCCAACTGAAGCATGTTTTAGGGGATGTGAGGCCTCTCCTTACTACCAGAGTCTCAATGGAAGAAGTAGTTGATTTTAGCCGGGCCCGTCCTCTCCCACGTCCTCCATGTGCTCCTCCACGTGGCCGGCGTCTTCCTGGAAAACTACTGCTGCGTCCCTGTATGAAGGAAGGGAGTGATCAGGAGAGCAAGTCTAGGGCTGAAGACTCAGGCAAAGGGTGAGGGCTCAGAAAGCCCTCAGGGCGGGGATAAAAGGCTGGCTCCAGAGTCCAGGTAGCTCTGTCCCATGTGCTCTCCCTCTCCCTAAATTCAAAAATGGCCAACGAGGTACCCTGGGGGGTGGGGGGAACACTGGATTACAGGCTCAAAACTCAAGTTTTTAACCCCAACTCTCTAATGGCAAACCTGAGAGTTACTCCTTCCACAACCAGACATCAGGCTGCTCCTTAATACAAAGGCTGGGAAGAGACAGTGACCTGGAACTACACCCCTGGGTGACGGCAGGGCGAGCCCCTCACCTGCTTGATGCGGGAACGTGCGGGGGAACTGCGCCGCCTCCCCTTGTCCCCCTCAGCTTTGCCTCCACAAACATTTGTCCCAGCTTCACACAACAGCGAGTCATCCGTCTCTGGCAGCGAGTCAGTGCAGAGCCGCAAGGAACCCTCATCTCGGGCGGGGCTAACATCTGTAGAGACCCCCAGCTCCATGGACAGGGACCCGCCACCCTCGGGGTCAGGCGAGCCCAGCAGAGGCTCTGAGCCCGGAAAACTTGCACTGGCATCCCCCTGGCTCAGATTGGAAATCTCGTTGACGATGTCGGACTTGATGAGAGCAGGCGGGGTGGGTGCCACGGGGGCCCGCGGCTCCTCCTGCATCTCACAGGGGGAGCTCTGTCCTGCGGGCTTGCCCTCTGGGCCGTAGACCTCCATAGGGGTCACAGGGGCCAGCTCCTCAGGGTCCAGAAGCACAGGAGAACCCTTAAGTTCACAAGCCGTCGAACAGCTAGGGGTCTGTCCAGCTTCTGGCTGTGAACCAGGAGTGTCTGTCCCCTCCAGAGGGGCTGTGTCTTCCCCCAAGCCAGAGAGGTCATCCAGCACTGGGGCTGGGCTGGGGGCAGGGCAGGAGAGGTCCTCCATTGGGGAGGGGAGAGGACTGGTGGGGCTGGGCTCCAAAGCTGGGCACTCTGGCTCTGGGGCCTTCTCAGTCTCCATGTCCTGGGGCCCTGCCTCACTGGGGACCTCTACCGAGTTCTCTACGGGGCTCAGGGGGGAGGGGATCAACAGTGGTGGAGCGGGAGGGGAGCACTGGGAAAGAGGGGGGCTCTGGAGGGGCGAGGAACGCTGGAGGAGTGGAGAACACTGAGGAGGCAGGGGCTCCATCAGAATGGGTGAGACTGGTCCTCCCATGGGGGAGCCTGGAGATGGGGGAAGGATCATAGGAGGGACAGGTTCGGGGTCAGTGCAATTCGCTTCTGGTGGAGGGCTGATGGGTGTCTCTAGGATGGGGGCGGCTAATGGCGACTCAGAGTCACTCTCCCCTCTGGCACCAAAGGGGTACTCTAACTCCCCCAGAGGAGACAGGGCCGGCGGGGCCACAGTTGTGATGATGGGGGAGAGCGGAGGAGGAAGAGGATCTGCAGGGAGACAAAGAAGAGGCGGTGCTCCGCTGTGGCCGAGCAACAGCCAGAGAGCCAATCCCGGAGGACAATGTAGGGACATCCCCTTACCTGGTGGTACCAGCGGAGGCGGCAAGGGCGGCTCCCCAGCTGGGGACATGGGCAGATCCTCAGGCAGAGGGGACAGGGGTGGCCCCCCAGGCTCAGACAGGGCCGGCTCTCCAAGCACAGGGGACAAAGGTGGTTGCTCAGGCGGCGGTAACAAGGGCAGTTCTTCAGGGGCAGAGCACAGGCCTGGCTCCTCAGGCCGGGGGATCTGGTGTGGCTCTGTAGCGAGAGTGGACAGGCACGGCTCCTTGGGCCGGGGGGAGAGATGTGACTCCTCAGGTGCTGGCAACAGGCGCAGCTCCTCAGGTGCCAGGGGCGGAGGTGGCTCCTCAGGATGGGGGTCCGGGCGCAGCTCCTCAGCCACAGTAGACAGGCTTGGCTCCTCAGGCCGAAGGAAGAATTGGGGATCCTCAGGCCGGGGGCAGGCACGCAGCTCTTTAGGCAGTGGCAACAGGGGTGACTCTTCCAGCGGCAGGGGCGTGGGCAAGTCCTCTGGTGGTGGGGAAGCGGGGGAGTCCTCAGGCAGCTGGGGAGTGGGGGTGTCCTCAAGTGGCGGGGACAGGCGCGAAGCCTCAGGTGGTGGGGATGTGGGGGAGTCCTCAGGTGGTGGGGACAGGCGCGAAGCCTCGGGTGGGGGGGATGTGGGGGAGTCCTCAGGTGGTGGGGACAGGGGAGATTCCTCAGGTGCCGGAGATCGATGAGATGCCACAGGCAGGGAAGAAAGGCGTGACACTTCAGGTGGAGGGGACATAGGTGAGTCTTCTGGTGGTGGGGACATGGGCGAATCCTCAGGAGGTGGGGACAGGCGCGATGCCTCAGGTGGTGGGGAGAGAGGAGACTCCTCGGGTGGAGGGGACAGGGGAGACTCTTCAAATGGTGGGAACAGGCGCGAGGCCTCAGGTGGTGGAGATGTGGGTGAGTCTTCGGGTGGCGGAGACATGGGTGACTCGTCGGGTGGTGGGAATAGGCGAGATGCTTCAGGCGGTGGGGAAGTGGGCAACTCCTCAGGTGGGGGGGACAGAGGAGACTCCTCTAATGGTGGGGGCAGAGGTGATGATTCCGATGGTGGGGACAGGGGGGTCTCTGCTTCGGGGGATGGAGGAGATTCCTCGGGTGGAGAGAAGGGTGACTCCTCCAGTGGAGAGGAAGGTGATGATTCAGGTAGGGGAGGTAGGGGAGACTCCTCAGGCGGTGGAGAGAGGGGTGACTCCTCAGGCGGCGGGGACAGGCGCGAGAGTGATGCCTCAGGTGGCGGGGATGTGGGTAATTCCTCAGGTGGTGGGGACAGGGGCGACTCCTCAGGTGGGGGCAGCAGTGGCATCTCCTCATTTAGGGGGGCCTCCAACTGGGGCTCAAGTTGGGCCCCTGTTCTCCCTGCAGACATAACACATTGTGTTCCTACCTAGTTCAGCTCTACTCCACGCAACTGTAGGATTTGGGGCAAAGTAGAAACGGTCCCTTGACAGAGAACAGAGTGGGATTCATTTCCGGGATCTTCAATCCCTACTCACCTAGTGGTTTGGCTTCACATTGCAGGGGGCCCCGGTCCTTGGATTGCATAGAGGTCAGGTGCCCACCCTTTGGCTTCCCTTGGCATGCAACGTACAGGGCATTGGGCTCATCAAGGGGGGTATCGCCAGGTTCTGGGGATGAGAATCTGCAGAGGGTACAGGGGAGCAGGCACTGTGGCTGTCTCCAGGTAGCAACTTCTAGAGAGCATGCTGGGGGGACAAGGCCGATATTGCTGTGGGTTGTCTGTCCATCACAGACCTTCCTTGAGCGCCAACTTGGGAGTACAGACCCTGCCACACTCTGTACTTCCAGCCTCTCTTCCCAACCTCACCCAGCCCACACTCCTTACCTGCGACTGATAGGGGGATGCTGCTCAGCATCAGGACCAACAGGCTGACCTCCCTGGGCTTTGTGACAGCGGTGACAGAGTGCGTAGTTCTCAAACCATTCCGAGTTGGGGTTCAGCTCTGCTGAGCCTGCTGCACAGACCCGGCACACTCGGCAAGCCTAGAGACGGGAAGAAGGCAAAGCATGTGCTGGGTGGCCAGTAAGTTACAGGAGAGCACCGGACTCATCGCAGCAGAGAGCCCGGAAATGCTGCCGGAGGCAAAGTGAGGGAGACTGCCGAATGGAGAGGAATCTCACCTTACACTTCCAGGAGTGGGCAGGCAGTTCCTCCATGGGTGGGTTGAGGCAGAAGGTGTGATACCCTTTGTCACACGTCTCACACACCAACATCTTAGAGTCATTCCCAGGTTTCCTGTAGGAGCACAGGGCACATGACAGGGTGCCCCCTACCTTCCCCATTTCTATCCTAACTGTGCCCCGCCCTAAGACCTTCTTCTTCCTCTCCCACTCTCACCTGCAGGCTTGGCACACTTTGCATTCAGGGCACTGCCAGCCAGCACGTTTACGGGCAGTCAGAGCGGTATCCAGGCAGGCCCCATGGAAGTGATGCCCACAGCTGGTACAGAAGAACAGGTCACACAGCGTCCCTGGTCCCTCACACACTGCACAGCGAGCCTCCTCTGCCGTGGAGAAGAGAGAGCTCTGGTCACTTATGGCTTCTTGGTAAGTCTCAGCAGTGCTGTCCAGGTGACAGTTTTTCCACAGGCATCACCTCACAAGACTCACTACCGTCCAGCCAATGCCCACTCACAGCAATCCTATAGGCCAGGACTAAACTGCCCCGGGGGGTGACCAAGACTAACTCTTAGGAGAGAAGACATCTCATCTTTCTCCCATGGCACCACAGCTTCACACTGCTGACCTTCTGGTAACCCACTAAGGCACCAGGGCTCTTAGTTCAGAGACACAGAATGAGTTAGTAACAATTTGTTACTGAGTATCTGTCTAACGTAAGCCAGGCACTGTTCTAGGCACTGCAGAGAGTGAAAAACAAGATAGGCAAAGCTTCTGCACTCACAAAGCTCACACCAATGTTAGTGGGGCGGACTAATGGTAAGAAATTAGACTTTGATGTGGGTACCGCAGAGTGCAAGAAACCAGGGCTCCCTTTAGCCCCCAAATGCCCTTTGTCCAAAAGGCAGGGTTCCTCACCCAGATGTCTGGCCCCCTCACTGTGCTCTGGGCATAGCAGCTGCAGTGTCTTCATGGATAAGAAGGAGCCACTGGCAGCTGCACAGGGGAAGTGGTAAAGCCGTGGACATCCGGGCGAGCGGCAAGGAATGGAGGCTCCAAGCCTGGTGCAGTGGGAGCAGCGCTGCCAGAGTGGAGAGACAAAACCTTAGTTCCAGTCAGTTCTCTCCACAGCAGCGGCTCAGGCACCAGCTGCCAGTCTCCAGTCTCCCCTCTACACTCCACCAGCTCTGCCTACCCCCTCAAGCCCTACCCTGCTCTTTACCCATACAGTCCTCGCTCCAGTCCCACCTGTGAGATCCCTGAGAAGATGGCCTTGTCCACACCACATAGTTCTGGGCCCTCCTGCCCCCACACGCCTGCTGACCACGCAGCACACCAATGGTGAGCCCAGCAAGGCCCTTCACAGGTGGGAAGAAGTAAGCACAAAGGGTTAACCAAAAGGTAGCCATTGACACAGAACTGCCCAGCCCTCGGCCCACTTCCACTAACTCACCTCCAGGCTCTCCTAGATGAGCAGGTGTCAGGCCCTCAGGGAAGCCAATCTGTGATAGGTCTTCACTGGGCAATGCTGGTGCATCAGGCCTTGGGTTTTCCCCAGGAGACACCACTGGACACCGGGGCCAGTCAAAGGGCAACTCAAAGCGCCGCAGCTCCCGCTGCCCATGCAGACTGGGCTCCCCACAGTTACAAAGAGCACAGCGTCGTGCTGGACCCCCACTGTGAAGAGAAGAGCATCAACACCCAACCTGGGCCTGCCAGCAGGCAGCCTGCCCACCCCATCACTTGGCGTGCCCATGCTTCTAGTCACTTCTTCCTCCAAATCTACTTCCCTGAAAGCCTTGCATTCTCATATCAAATCCTCACTTGCCTTTCTATGCACCTTTTCCCCCCAAACTAGTTACCTGCAGTCCTGGGAAGGTTCCTGAAGCCTGGGGCCCCCAGAAATGGGGACAGAGACCTCCCCAACATGTGCGTGGGGAAGGTCTGCCTCAGCAGTGCCCGACTCCTTGGAGGCTGCAGGCCCATCAGCTGGAAGCACAGAGCAGCACATGTCAGATGTCATTCCCCATGTAATACCGTCCACTCACCGCATCAAGAAGATTATCCAAAACCCTACTGATATCAGTGCTGGCCTTTCAACTTTTGTCCCAAAGGACAAAGTGCTTCAATTACCTGTCGACTAGTTAGATTTAGCTCCTTGTCCTTTGGGCAGGACCAGAAATTAAGGTTCCCAGAAAGAGCAGAAAGCTGCCAAACAACCCCAAGCTCCCCTACTCACCTGCTGGTTCTGAATCTTTATCCTCCCCAGACGGCTTCTGGCTGTCCATCCCTCTCTCCGACTGGGCAGGGCCCTCTCGGGGAGACCTGTCAACGCCAAGACAGGTATCTATATGTTGCATGAGTCTCCACACTAAGGACTTTTTTCAGAGTCCACCCCCATCACCAACCCTCCCAAAAAAGGCAACCAGACCCTACAGAAATCAAGAGGAAAGCCATACCTGCAAAGTCTTGTTCTAAGGACAAGGAAAATCATTCTTCCTGATCCTCATCCCACCGCCCATATACTCTCTAGATCAGGCATCCTCAAACTATGGCCCCAGGGCCACATGCGGCCCACGAGGACATTTATCCAGCCCACCGGGTGTTTTTGCCCCATTTGTTTTTTTACTTCAAAATAAGATATGTGCAGGGTGCATAGGAATTTGTTCATAGTTTTTTTTTAAAAAAAACTATAGTCCGGTCCTCCAACGGGTCTGAGGGACAGTGAACTGACCCCCCGTTTAAAAAGTTTGAGGACCCCTGCTCTAGATAGACACATGCCCTTAACCCCCACTTTAGATTCTCAGGAGATCCACTCCCCTTTCCAGCCTCCTCCATTAAAGGTCCCTGGACAGTAACAATATCCAAAGAGAGGCACATGCTATGTGTGTCTAGAACCACCCTTTGCCACCTCAGCTCCTGACTTCTGAGGGGCCCTATTATCTGTCATCTTCCTTAAGTCTCAAGTCAGCTACTAACCTAGGTGCCTGTCAGTGTGAAGCGAAGGGTAGTCATAACCCAAGAAGGCTAAGTCCTGAGACAGAGTCTGAGGTCTTACAAGTAAAACACATTATCAGAACGAAGACCAACTATGGGTAGACAGACTGTCCCCAACCTCCATTGGTTTCAACCAAGTCATCCTAATTACAGCAGAGGAAACTTCCCAATTTTCAATAATTGCACACGCAAATTCATCTCAGGCCCACCCCAACCCTCTTCCAGACCCTGCCCTGACTCAGCTCAGGGTCTCACCTAGCCTGAAGGCCTCAGGTCGTTGCCCTTAGCAACGCCAACTGCCCTTCCTCCTCAGATGTCCCCAGTAGTTAACAGAAGTGGGGCTTAAGAGTTACTGAGCATGTGTAGCCTGGTCTGTAGCTAAGCATGCTGGGAGTTGTAGTCTCAGGAAACACATTGCCTCTTGGAGGAGTTCTAAACCGGGCAGGACACAACAGAGCAGAGTAGCTTCCTTCCTTTTCCGTCATGTAAGGTTTCCACACACACTATGTGAGAGGTGGGGAGTGGGGGGAAGGGTAACGGTCCCTTGTCTAAGATAGGGCTGCCTGTACCAGAGCCAGATGAACCATAGCAAAGTTATAACTAAGAAGTTATCTCCACCTGAAGGCATATTTTCCTAGACCTAAGGAAACTTAGTAAAACACACAGACACACAGACACACACACACACACACACACACACACACACCAAAAAAGAAGAAGAATATAAGATAAGAAGACAATCAGAGATGAGGAATGGGTAAAGGATCCTATAAAGGAAAATGGAGTTAGGGAGAGATGCCAACAGCTTTTAGAGAGAAGGGCAGGGGCTTAAGCAGAGAAAAATAGTATCCAGTGTTCCCAGAGGGGTGGAGGGAGGAAGCCCGAAAATAGAACCCTAAATAAAAGTTAGAGAAAGCTGTCTCTCTCACCTTTTTCACTCCTCTTGCTTAATCGAAGGGGCCACAGCCACCTTAGAACACCTCTTCGCAAACTAGAGGAAAATATCCAAGCCAACACCTTGGAGTTGAGTGACTGGGGCAAATTAGACCATCGGAGCTCTCAAAAGTGTCCAAGATCGGGAAATCATCGACCTAAGAAGGGCCCTTCCCTCAAATCACACTCCATTTCCAAAGACCGGCAATGCCCTTTCTGAGACATGTCGGAGGAAAGGGAATTCCTTTCCTTTCTTCCCCTGCTCAGTAGCCTCAGAGACTACTAGAAAGAGAATGAAACACCCATGCCCACGTCGTCTGGTGCCCAAGGCTGCCACACCTGAACACATAGCAGGGCACTCATCTGGCCAGCCCCAGGGAAAGCTGCTCTAGAATCTCAAGGGGCCTTTAGAAACACCACCTATGGGAAGTGGGAAGTAGAGGTCAGGGCACCAGCCATGCCCCTTCTCTTCCTAGCTAGTCATTTACAGCCTGACCACACCCAAGAAGTCCAAAGGGGCTTCAAAGTTTCCTACGTGTCTGCATATTACTGGACTTACCACCACTGTCCCCAAAGAGTCTCTACCCGCAAAGTCGGGACCAAAAGAAATCACACACAGAGGGAAATAAGAAAGCAACAGTGATAATACAGTGGGTGGGAGGAGAGCTGCCTCATACAAGGCCAGAAGAACAAATTCCTCTGTCCTCTCAAGCTGGGAAGTCTGCCCTGTTCTTTGAGGTAAAGAAACAACCTTCATTCAGCCTTGGGAGATGAGTACCAACCTCCTCCAAAGCTGGAGCTCCACTGGGCTTGTGGTAGGATGATGAGAGATCAAGAAGCAAGGAGCACAGTGCCCTCCAAGTTGAACCAAAAGGACTCTCAGAGTCCACCCAAGAAGCCTGAAGTCTCAGACCCTATTTCCACAGCCCTCTAGACTAGCACTTGCACCCCAGTTGCCAGGCTCCTCCTGAACAGAGCTGCAAAAATAAAGACCACAGGTTCCCCCTATACCATCATTCACAGCCAGAAGTGTCTATCTCTACTTCTCTCTCTCTCTACACACACACACACACACACACACACACACACACACACGGCTTCCTCTGGGGTACTAGAGATCCCAGTGAGCAAGGTGAAACCCAGGGAATAAAACTACTGATGCCACCTAGTCTAGGACTAAGGTAGGGAAGAAGGCAGGGACTTATCTCAACCTACCCTCTTTACTACCTCCATCCCAGGCCAATGGCTTTCAACCCATTTTCACAGCCCAGGGGGAAATGGAGGCTTGGGGAGGTAAAAGGCTAAAGTAGGCCCTTGAGTGAACAGCTCTTCAGTAGGACTCAGGACTTCCTGGTTCCCAGCCTGAGAACCAAACCACACCTCTCTCCACCCCCATTTTGGGCCACCCTTCCAGGAGGAATCCAAATGGCACCACTGACCCTGTAGACCCACTGGACTGTCCCTGGGTCAGCCTGGGGCCAGCCGTGGCTAATAAGAAGTCCCTCCTAAGGAAGTTGCTGGAGGACAGAGAATAAGTGGAGGCAGGGGCAGAGTGCAAGGGTGACAGCTCACCTCACTCCACCAGCCTGTGCCACTTCTCCTCTCGGGATTACCACCCAGAAATCTTTCAAGGGCAAAGCCTCTATTTTCTCCTTTCCAAGACCAGGCTCAAAGAGACAGGGTAAGTGTATGCTGGAGGCGGTGCCGTGAGGGAGCAAAACACACCAGCCAAATCCCTGCTGGGCAGCATGACAGGTGTGAGGGGGGCTGTCCCAGCCCAGGGCCCAGAGGATGAGACTCACGCTGCACCCTCCATGCACACACTTACACACCCCTTCACCCTAACACATCCTCCTGAAGGCTGGAACCACTGGCTTCCAGAACAAACAGCTCTGGTCAGGCCATTTCCCCTCCACAGAGGTGCCAGCCACCCTATTCTGCAAGGCCGGCAAAGGCCCTGAGGATCAGCTCACATTCCCTGGTAGGAAGAGGCCTGGGGAGGTCTGGAAGGAGCTTGTAGGATTGGTCAGGGGGCTCATGGGCAGCCAGCTTTCCACATCAGCCCCAGAGAAAGCAGGAGACAAAAGCCTTTTTTTTTTTTTTTTTTGCAGCCCACATTCACAGGGAGCAAATCTCAACAGCCTCCCCTATAATCCCCTAGAGATTATGTCCATGCAGAGAAGAGGGAAGGCAAAGCAGGTGAAGATAGCACTAGGCCTGGCTGGGGTCTCTTTGCCACAAGGGGTAGTTTCTGGCTGAACGGCAAGGCCAGAGATGTCCCAGGCCCTCCTAAAGCTTGCCCCGGGCACCCCCTTCACCACACTAGTCAGTTTCCACGCACTGTCCTCTTTGCCCATGAAAGAAGGCTTGGTGAAAAGACCTGGGATTCCTTGAGTCTCCCAAGGACTGCTTTGGGTGCCCGGCTGGGTAGGAATAGCCTTAAAGTCCAACCTGGCAATAAGTCCAACCGAGCAGTGGCACCATCCCCCCTCCCCCCCCACCATCCCAAGTTGTTCAGTTCCCTAGGCCCAGGAGGAACCCTGGGGGAGAAGCAACAGCCTGGGATTGGTGCTGGCAGCAGGGCCTGGGTCCTAGTTTAGTCGAGCTCCCCCCACCACAAAAATAAACAGGCAGAGAAGCAATCTGGCCAGGTTCCCAAACTCCCGTGGTTTCCTGAACCCCCAGTCTTTAAAGAGGCACACCCCAAGGCACCAGGCCTCAGTTCTGCCCTGGAGACTGGCTCAGGTTCCCTTGACAGACCCTGCCAACGGAACCCTCCCCAGTTCTGGCACCCCCTTCTCCAACCTAAAGGCCAACTCCGGCCAAGATAGTCCATCTGGCTGCGCCCCCAGTCCAACCCTTTCTGGGCCCTGGCCGGGCGGACTTCACTCACCTCTTCACAGGGCGATCCAGAAATCCTCATCCGAGAACATGGCCAGAGCCCGGGCCGCTCCCCGACCTCCAACCGCCAGAGCGATCACTGCCGCCCCCCGCACGGGGGGGCCTAAGGGGGGCCAAGAACGGTAAATCCAGGTCGGAGTGGCCACCCTCCCCCCCCCCCAAAAAAAAGCAAAAAGCCAAAGAAGGGTTCTCTGCTTGAGGTTCCAGCAGTTTAGGTCTCCATGGACAGCCCCAGGGCGGCGAATCCCGAGCGGACACAAAGAGAGCACCGGTGGCTTTGATCTTGGGCGAGCAGGCTCCGCATCCGCGTCGTCGGGCGGCCTCTCAGTTCCAGGGCCCGGCCAGCGCCCTGGCCGCCCGCGCCGGGCTCAGGCGGACCGTCGAGGCTCTCCAGATGGAACGTCGAGGCGCCTCCTCAGCAGCCCGGAAGGAATGCCGCGCCGGGCCCGGATCGAGCGAGAGCCCCTCACCGGCGCGCCGAGCCGCTCTCCCCGCCCGGGCCGGCGCCCAGGGGCCGCGCGAGCTGAGGCGACGCGGAGCCGGCGGGGCCGCGGGGCTGAACCTGACACACACCCAACGCCGGGCTCCTCGATCCCGAGCGCTCGCCCTTGGCGGCTTCGAGCCCCCCACCTTCTGCTCCCCCCCGGGGAAGGGAGGAGGGTAGGTGGGCGAGGAAGAGGAAGGGGCGGGCGGTGCGAGCCCTCTGCCCGCTCCCCGCCGGCCGCTCCAGGCCCTGCGCTCGCCTCCCTTCCCCTTCGGGCTTCGGGAGCTGCCCCGCCCCCGGCCTGGCCGGCTCTGTTCAGCGGCACCTCCTCGACCCCCAGCTGGCTGTGATCGCGGGGGGCCTAAGGGTGCATGGCCCAACCCCGGCTCCCGGCGCCGGGGGGTCAGGAAACTGAGCGGAAAGTGGGGAACGAGGCAGCCATTTGCAACCGGAGAGGAAAGTAGTGCAGCGCGGCGCCGCTCCGCCTCTCACCCCCCCACCCCCCGCCTCCTGTTCGGCCGGTAGGGTGGTTCCTGTGAAGGGGCTCTTTTCTCGCCTGGGATCTCGGCCGCGGTCGCAGAGATTCGTGAAGCCTCCGGTGCGAGCTTCTGGGGTGCCTTTTGCCTAGGAGACCCCACTCGAGACGGGGAGAAAGGAGAAGACGCGGCCCTATTTTGTGTTGGAGCGGAGCGGCGGAGCGATACGGGCCTCTCGCCGAAAGGCTGTGACTCTGCAGTTCTACGCACACGCTTTGGAATCCCTCCGCCGCGGGTTAACCCCGGCTGTGCCGGGCCGGCCGCTGTGCAGACACGTGGGAATGAAGCCCCCCTCCTCTCCGGCCCGGCCCTGGAGCCACCTCCTTTCCTGCCCGGGCAGTTCAGCTCGGACTCTCGCCACTTTCTAATTCCGTTTCCAGGGAGTCAACGGTCCCTGAAACTCCCAACTGCCCCCTTGCCTTGTCCAGGGGCAATCTTTCCCGGGAGGGGGATGGAAGACGAGCCAGGAGATTGGCCGCTGCTCTGCATCCTGGGAACTGGAGTCCGCAAATGGAGAAAGTGAGGCAGGGAGCCTGGCGCTGCAAAGGGTGGGTTCTTGCCTCGTTCGGGGGCCCGGAAAAAAACCGGAATGAGTTCCTAGTCGTACCGCCTGGCTCCCGAATCCCCTCATGAGAGGAAGGAGGACTGCCAGTGGCTCCACAAATCACCACATAAACCGCCCCGTCAAGATAGACACGAAGAGCTGCCCTTCCTTTTCTGGGTGACCCCCACGCCCACCTCGTCTTTCTCTCTGACCCTCCAGGGCCTGTGTCCCTGTTTTTTAAGTACACAGAGGGGATGTTTCTTGGAGCCTTGCTGCTTACTTGGCTAAAGTACTGTTATTCTGGACAAGATCCCAAACACTCCTTGCAGGCACCCCCACCCCCACAAGCTGAATGAGAAAGAAGCGCCCGCGGTGTGGGCAGGAGGAGACATATTAACCATGTGCTAGATACTTTATGTACTTAGTGATTCCTCACGCTCACTATCTATTACATTGAATTCTCTCTATACTCTGTACTACATATGAAGAGACTGAGGTTAAAAATAGGTTAAATTGCCCAAAGAACTACAACTAGTGAGATAGAGCCAATACTTAAACCAATGGCCAGGTTTTCTCGAAATTTAAAAAAAAATTTTAAGTTGGTTTTGTTAAAGAGGACATAGGGGGAAAAATTTGAGGGAAAGATTTTTGTAACCCTGTACAACAGAACTTTCTGTAACTCTAACAACGAAAATACATCCACTACCCAGTATGGTGCTGTAGTGGTTATACACATTGGGCTGCGATTGATCCGCAAGACAGCCATTCCAAAAAAAAAAAAAAAAAGACAGCCATTCCAAGCCACCAGCCACTCCCCAGGAGAAAGGGGTTTTTATTCCTGTAAAGAATTATAGAAACTCACAGAGGCAGTTCTGCCTGCCCTTTAGGGTCACTAGGAGTGGACATCAACTCAGTGGCAGTGAGTTTGGTTGGTTGGTTTGTGTCCACTATGATAGCCATTAGCCACATGTGGCTATTGAGCACTTAAAATATGGATGTTGCATCTGAGGGACTGCCTTCTTTGTTTTTTAAACAGTTTAAACTTAAAAGCCCTATATGACTCATGGCTTCCGTAATGAATCATGTAAGAGATCTTATTCCCTACCGTGCAGGATTTAGGAATAGGCATATCCTCTGCTGGGCACACACTGACCCGCCAGTCATCTCCTTCAGGAAGTCCTACTGTGACCCCACACCTATCCCAGGTAGAGTGGAATCGTTAACTCTGAATCAGATGTTGGAGACTGGTAGTCCCTGCCCTACTTTTCGGAGCTCTTGTGGTGTCGTGGAGTCCATGCTGGACTGTCAACCTCAAGGCCAGTTCAAAATCACCAGCCACCAGAAAAAAACCAGGCTTTCTACTCCCCTAGAGTTAGCCTCAGAAACCCAAGGGGGCAGTTCTACCCTGTCATATAAGGTCGCTATGAGTTGGCATCAACATGATGGCAGCGAGGGTTTTTTGTTTTTTTTTAACTCTCCACACTTAGAAGGCAGTTGCTCACCAGAAAGAGCTCCAATACTAACACTGATAAACACCATCAGTTACAGGCTTATTATAGATCAGAAACTGCTAAGTGTCAAAGTTATTAGCTCATTTGATTCTCAACTCTATGAAGCAGGCTTCACCCAACTTCATGAGAAATACCCTAGTGGGTTAAGCATTGGGTTAATGTCAAATACACGAGTGGGTTAAGCATTGGGTTCGTGGCAAAGTCAGAGTTCAAAACTACCAGCTGCTATGAGGGAGAAAAATGAGGCACTGCTTCCTTGAAGATGTGCCGCCTCAGAAATCCCATGGTGCAATTCAGTTCTACTCTGTCCTAAAGTGTCACTATGAGTTAGAATGGACTTATCAAACCCACTGCCATCGAGTTTATTCCGACTCACAGGGATCGTATATGAGGTTTCTGTGACTATAAATCTTTATAGGAACATAAAGCCTCATCTTTCTCTCAGGAGTAGCTGCTGGTCTCTCAGCAGTCCAAGGCTTACCCAATAGCATTACCAGGGCTCCAACAGTGTGTTATAAGTGAGACACCAGTCCAAGGTTGTAAGTGTCTGCCCAAAGTCACAAAATCGAGTTCACTATTCCAACTTAGTTATTTTCCCACTATTCTTTACTGCCACCAGGTCAAGATTGCATACTGATGTACTTCTGGAAAACCTCAGATATCTGAAGGTTTTTTGCCAACCTCAAGGAAATGGCAGCAGAAGGGTAAGTCCATATAAGGAGTATCCCAAGTTAGAGGTGCAAAAGGACCTAAATTTAAAGAGAATGGCTCTAATCGCAAAGTGGCCCCTATACCAGTGAGATTGCTCTTTGGAATCAGCTTCTTTCAAACAAACAACACACACATAAAACAAACTCACTGCCATTGAGTCCTTACTGACTCCCAGCGAGCCCCTGTGGGTTTCCGAGACTGTAACTGTGTCCTGTGAGTAAGCTGCTGGTTGTTTCGAACTGCTGGCCATGCTTCTTCCAGCAGCGCTTCTTTCTTTTTGGACTCTGGATCATAGAAGCAAAGGCTGCTGGCAGAACTTTGAAAACCAGCATGCGAAACCATCATCCCCAATTGTAAGCCTGCCCACCCTTGAGCCAGGCGCTGAAAAGGTTACAGCCAAAAAAACAAAAAAAAACACGCCTAGATGTTGTCCAGCCACTTTAACTAAACAGAGTGCCTCAGGAGCTCAGGTTCCTCCAGTGGCAGAAGAGGTCTGTGACCCCCTTGAGAAGGTACAATGTCCTTAGAACCCCGGCGATTGGGATGCTAGCAAGGTCAGCAGTTTGAAATCATCAACCTAAGGGAGAACAGGTGAGACTTTGCACTCAGAAGACCATGGGGCAGTTCTACTCTGCCCTACAGGATGTCAGAATCAACTCGATGGCAGTGAGTTTTACTTGACTTTTTAAGTCTTTATCAGTTCTTGGAGAAAGTATTAGGCCAGTTTAGGCTCTAGGTTTGAGAGGTGTTTTAATCTGATGCAGATGGGACCAGACCAGATAGGAACCAGATTGGGTTTATCCAAATAGACCCAATAGGAACCCTTACTGAGACGGTTCAACAAGGAAAGGCAGAAGGAACAGCTTTTGACAACTGAAAAATGTAGCAAAACTCTAAGGGTGGAAAAGGTTCTGAAAAGGTCAAAGGTTTGAGAAGGGCAGTGTATCCATTTTAATGAAAAGTACTAGCCACACGGTGGGAGGATTGAGACAGACACTTATCAGGCGCAGTTTCTTACTCCAGTCAACGCTCTTGAGGAGCCTGGACTTTCTGCAATAGTTTTGTCCCTGCCGCCACACTCCTCCTTTATTCTTTTATCATTAGGAATGAAGGGCTTCCGACCCTCCTGAGTTCCAGCAAATGCCTGCCCCAGGACACAGGCGCGGTCACGGCATGTGGCCGCTGACCGCTAGAGGGCAGTGTTTCTGTAGTTAAGGGGATCTTGAGAACCAGAGGGCCCTACGTCCATCATCTGCCTACAAACAGGGATGGGAGTGGTTGGCAGCCAAGTGGTGATACCTGTGTAAGGAAAAGCCAACAAGATAGAAAGGTGGGAAAGGCATGTAGTATGTGGTAGGATAATGGTCCAAGATGAATGAGGAGTAAAGACTAATAGGTTCAAGATGGGAGGAAAGAATCCACCACTAAATGACCACAGCCACCATTGCTCAGAAAGGTAGACAGCCAAGAACGTTGTCCACCCTGTACCTTCCCTAGTCAGAAGTCAACAATAAAAGATTTCTGAAGTTTATTTGTTTATATACATTGTGACCCCAAGGAGCCAGCTCCGCTTCAGGAGTCCCTAGCTCCCCTTACCTAATGTACACACAAAACCCAAGCAGGAGGCTGGACCCTGGATAAACAATGCCCAGGACCCACACCCTACTGCTGCAGGCAATCACAGAACTCATTAGCAAACATGGAGGGCTGGAGGCCAGTGTCCATGAGACATCCTTGCCCCTTTGTAAACATCGACACCCAGGCCTTTGGAGCCTGGGAAGAGTGTGCAAACTGGAGGGCACCAAACTGTGTGACCAGAAGGCTAGGGACACAGTTGGCAGCCATACCTGTGAAGTCCTGAGGGTGTGCCCCACTGGCACCCGGCAAATACCAGAGGCAGAAACAAGGCAGTCTCCCTCTGCCCAAAGGCTCACATAAGACGGCAGCGCCTCTCTTGCCCATAAGAATTCTCCACACGGGCAATCTCCTGGATGACTTTGGTGAAGATCCGTTGGGTGAGCTGCCGGGGATAGGAAGTCAAGACAAAAGTCAGGTCGGCCGTGCCAATACTATTTTAATAGCCCCTTCCCCGCCATGCCCAACACAAATCAGTGCCACGAGAGAAGCACACTATTCCCTCCTCCCCAATATCCAGGTCAAGTACCTGATCATCTCGAGCCGAGGACTCCATGAATGTCGCACCCCAGGACTCTGCCAGCCTCTTCCCTTCGATTGTTTGGACCTCCCTGGAAGCAAATTTGGGAGCAAGAATGGGAGACAGCCACGTCCCCTAGTTGTTTACAAAATCTTTTGACTATACAGACCACCTCTGGCCTCGCCCATTCCCAAGGTCTGGGAGAACTGAGGAAGACGGTATCAGTAAACAAAGGAGTGAAGCGTGGATGTCGAATATCGATATCGTTGGGTGAGGGGAGCTGGAACTCCTGGAGTAGGGCCAGTTCCCTGGAGTAACAGTGTATACACAAGTACACTGCCAAGTCTATGGGTCTCGGGATAGCTCAGGGCCAGGATCATTCTTTATTTTCTCCTTTTCCAAACAGTGACAGTTGTGGTCTTGGGGAAACAAGGCTCTTTCCTCCCACGTCTTTCTTTCTTTAACCACCTCATTGTTATTCCTCATTCAGTCAGAACCATTACCTAACCTGGGGTCTGTCCCCCAACCCCACCCCTGCCCCACATGGGCATGATGGCTTTTGAGAAAGAAGGGTTATTTCATCTGAACCCTCAAGCTGTAAATGGAGAGATGAAATGACTTGCCACGGCTGTGGCAAAGGCAGGTACCGGGCCTGGCCGGGGCCCAGCCCAGCTCCCTTCCCTTCACCCTGGGCCACAGAGATTCACATACCTGGCTAGAGAGAGATCTGCTTTATTCCCAACAAGCACCACCGGCAGACTGTGAGCAAACAGTAGTTACTATAAGATTCCCTTCATTCCCATAGACCCCAAACTCCCACTCGTCAGGGCTGAACACCCCTCCACCAGCCCAGGCAGTACCCACATCCTCCCTCCCAACTTCTAACTCATAACGACTCTATAAGACAGGGTAGAACTGCCCCTGTACGCTCCTGAGACTGTAACTGTTTACCCGAGCAGAAAGAAAGCCTCATCTGTCTCCCATGGGGCTGCAGCTAGTTTCAAATCAAACCGCTGACCTGGCACGTAACCCACTATGCCACCAGGGCTTGTGTCCTCCCCCTAAATGTCACCAATTTTCCTCTCTGCTTTCCTCCAGCCGCTCCTGTCCACAAGATGTCTCTATCCCCCAGGGCCACTTACCGCGTTTTTCCATGGTCTTGATGTAGTTTTTGGTAGAGACTCTCAATGACTTGGAAGCTTCAAACAAAGACATGGAGCTGTAAGTGACCTTAATTCTGGGGCAGCCCTCAGGTCCTCCCAGCCCCCCGACTCACAACCTTAGTGTCTTACCTATGCTGAGAGGTGACAGAGTACACAAGCACATAACCATGGACGCCAATGATGAATGAATAGGGAAGAATGCTGTACTCATCCTGGCAAGGAATACAAATATCAGTACCTAGATCTACACCACTCAGTTGGCAATGGTGGGTGGGGCGCCACCCCAGGGTCCCTCCCTACTCCCATTAGTTCAGTTCAACAGCTATTTTCAACTTAGCTCCTGTTGAGTCAGCTTTACCTTTGCATATTACTTTACAAATAAGCTATAGGCTACTGCAAGACTTCACCTCCAAAAGTTTAACTGCCACAGTTGGAAACCCTACCCCAGTTAGTACCTGTCCTGCTGTGTCCACCAGGTGTAGGTGAAACTCATCTTTGCCAAGAGTCACTATCTTGCTGTAGGCTGAAAAGAAAAACTGGCCATGAGAAGCATCGTAGGGCTAGCATCGTTTCTGAATCCTGGAGGCAAGAATGGATGGACTAGGTCCAGGGAGCACTCCAGGACACTGGAAAAGAGGAGCACTGCCATCGAGTCAATTCCGACTCATAGTAACTCTATAGGGCAGAGCAGAACTGCCCTTTTGGGTTTCTTGAAGGGCGCAGAAGGCCTCAACTCTCTCCTGACCGTACAGGTAGCAGCTCAACACATTATCCACTAAGCCACCAGGGACCCTGGAAGGACAACCCCACCCTCGGCACAGTCCTCTTGCAAGATCCACTCATTGAACAGAATCACCTGAAAAGGATTTCATAGCTAATCAAATCAATCCCTAGGCATCAGAGAAATTCTGCTTCTCAGGATTGGGGATTAGGGAGAGCCCCATCCCATCATGTGAAGGGAGACATCTACTCACTGGTCTCCACTGTAGGATCATAGTCTTCCAAGAACTCGCCTTCCACAAATTGATGAGCCAAAGATGTCTTCCCTGTGGGGAACAGTGGTAACTGTATCCAAATCGCCCACTCACGGTGACAGCCTCTGTCCTTTCAGACTGTGACCCTGAACCCATATTTGCACCCCAACCTGTGAGTGTCCCAAGAACGCCTGTCCCTAGCCTACCCCACCCTCTTTTCATCCAGGATTTCTATACCTTGCCTATAATGTAACCAGTGCTCCAAAGGCAGTCTTCTGCCCCCCCCCCACTTTCCCCCCTCCCCTCCCGAGGGGTTCCAGGATTCCCTGGCGCTTAGTCGGCCCCACCCTTACCCAGGGCACCTGCGACCACCGGCCCTCCTCAGACTGCACCCTCTGCACGGAATCTTCACCCCACTCCCACCCCAGCGGAAGATGGAACCACTCTGCCGGTCCTGCAGCCAAACCCACATTAACCCTTGTGTACCCCCATCCCTGCATCGGTCCCCACCCCACCCAGCGTTTCCTTCTCCATCCTTTCATTTCTCGCTCTGCACTACTGTTCTTTCCAAGCCACCATTCCTCTTTGGGTCGAGCTCCCACGGCAGCGCGCCCCCTCTGGCCACCAAGCCGCGGTGCATCCATGCTCGCCCCAAGGCGGAGACTCACCTACTGAGCGGTATCCGAGGATGACCACCTTCCTGTAGCGGACCAACGGCATGGCAGGAGCCGGCCCCAAAGGGCTGGGACAACTGCGGGCTGAGCAAGCCCGAAGAGGAGGAGAGCAAGGGGTAGGCGGACCAAGCAAGCGTGCACGAAAAGTCGCTCAGCCAGAAGCTGCCGGGGACAAGCAAGAGGGAAACCAAAACAAGCGCCGCGCCCGGAGCCGGCCACGTGATCACAACACAGCACGACTAACGCGAGGGAGCTGGGCGCCGAGGGAACTACAGTGCCGCGCCGCCCCGGGCTCCGCCCCCCAGGCCGCTCGCCATTGGTTCGTTAGAAAATCCAAGGGCGGGGTCGCCAGCAGGAGGGAAGGGTGGGTCTCACGTGGAGCGGGAGAACCGGGAGCTACGCTTGCGCAGACTGGAGCCGGTTCATTCATAAAGAAACGGGAAGGAACCCGGGGTCCTAGAGATGTTTGCGCAATTCCAACTAGCAGAGCTGCTACAGAGAGCCATGGCTGGAAGATGCCCGCTATGTCTGAACTAGAGTTTCTACTCAAAGGACTCCAGACCTCCCTTTTCCAAGTCCACTGTGATTTTTAGATGAAGAAAAAGGGCCAAAATTTTCAATATACGTACTCCTTTTCCCGTGCCCTTTAGCAACACCCCACCCCAGCCCCACCCCGCCGACCTTTTGTTGGTTGTCTTCCAGGGTATATGAATCACAATTCTTTTTTTTTTTTTTTTTTGCGTCCCTGGGTGGGCGCGAAGCAATTCTTACTCTTGAAGAAATTGCTAGAATGTGTAACCAAGTTGTCTGAGGTCATTTTAATCCATACATTCATTTATTCAGCAAATATGCAGGGAGCTTCCAGCATCTTTTAATACCATTGTTCCAGGAGCGTTCTGAAACCCGTTCGTATTTGCGGGGACCAACTTTATGTTTCCAGAAGCCTGGTGCTGGTGCTGTGGCTGTGTTGGGCTGCTAACTGCCAAGTTGGTTCTAAACCCAGCTTTTCCTTGGGAGGAAAGTGAGGCTGCCTGCTCCCATAGAGAGTCTCAGAAACCCCACATGTGAGTATTATGTGTCAGAATCCGTTGGGTGGCAGTGGTTTTCAGGGTTTATGTCTCAAACACTGCTCCCGGCTTTGGGAACATGGAACTTAGCAAGAGGAAAGAGAAAATCTTAAAACCTAGGGGTGGGACTGGGGTGGGGACAGAGACAAACTTAAGCAAGGAAATAGCAGATAGCATTCAGTGCTATCCTTGAGGACCTCAGTAGTTCTCCATTAATTGTACTGTTGCTTATAATCAGTCCCATTGTGAGGATTTTTGTTTTCTTTATGTTCCACTGTAACCCATACCGAGAGCTGTTATCTCGTATCATCATCAGTAAGTGTTTCAAGTTCTCTTTGCGGCAGCGAATTTGGAGTCCTCCTGGTATGGTGGGCTACAACCTGAGCTGCTAACCACAAAGTCAACAATTCAACCCTACCCCACCCCCCCAGCCACTTTGTGAGAGAAAGATAAAGCTGTCTATAACTGGAAAGATTTAAAAACACAGGGCAGTTCTACCCTGACCTATAAGGTCACGAATGACCCTATTATGAGTCATGAATCAACTTCATGATAGTGAGTTTTTTCCTTTTGTTTTTGTTTCCAACGAGGAAAGTTGTGTCATTTTCATACCACAGCTGGAGTCTCCCCCCATCTGTTGTTTCATTCTTTGTCATAAAGTCGAACATCTCATATTGTTTAGTCACTGTACAGATTGAGTAAATGCAGCAAGAGGATAACTCTGATACACACTATTTCTGATTTTAAGCCATACAGTGTCTCCTTCTTCTGTTCAAAAGACTGCCTCTTGGTTTATGTAGGAGCATAATTAATAGTTTTAGAATCTCAATTCCTCACAATGTTATCCATATAAAGTTGAAGTGGCCAAGGATTTCATTTTATTGGATCCATAATCCATGACCATGGAAGTGCCAATCAAGAAATTAAGTAAAGTATTGCACTGGGAAAATCTGCTACAGAATAAAAAAAGAAATCTAAAATGTTCCAAAGCAAAGATATCACTTGAGTGTGTCTCTCACTCAAGCCATGGTATTTTCCATGGCTTCATATGCATAGGGAAGCTGGACAATGAATACACAGGACCAAAGAATTGATGCCTTTGAAGGACGGAGTTGGTGAAAAGCATTGAATATCCCAAGGACGTGCAGAAGAATGAACTAATCTGTGTTGAAAGAAGGACAACCAGAGTGCACCTTAAAAGCAAGGATGATAAAATTTTATCTCACTTACTTTGGATATATTATCAGGAGGGACCAGTCCCTAGAGAAGGATATCATGCTTGGTACAGTACAGGGTCAAGAAAGGAGAAGAGGGGTGTACTTGATGTGGTACAGTTAGGGTCAAGAAAGGTGAAGAAAGCTGATGGTGCCAGGTTATCAGAAGATACAGCATCTGGGGTCTTAAAGGCTTGAAGATAAACAAGTGGCCATCTAACTCAGAAGCACACCAGCCTGTGTGATCATGAGGTGTCAGTGGGATAAGGTATCAGGTATTTAAGACCCAGAACAAAATCATACCAGTGTGAATTGTGTGGGGGGATGAGGAGTGGAGACCCAAAGCCCATCTGTAGATAATTGGACATCCCCTCACAGAAGGGTCACAAGCAAGAGATGACCCAGCCAGGGTGCAGTATAGCACTGATGAAACACAACTGTCCTCTAGCTCTTTGGTGCTTCCTTCCCCCCACTATCATGACCTCAACTCTACCTTACAAATTGGATTAGACCAGAGCATGCGCACTGCTAAGCCAAGAGCCTGCAACACAGGGATTCCAGGATAGATAAACCCCTCAGGACCAACAAGGAGAATAAAGATACCAGGAGGATAAGGGGAAGGTGGGGGCAAAAAGGGGGAATTGATCACAGGGATCCATATATAACCCCCTCCCGGGGGGATGAACAACAGAAAAATGGGTGAAGGGTGAGAGGACAATGTAAGATGTGAAAAGAATAATCTATAACTTATCAAGGGTTCATGAGGGAGGGGAAAAATGAGCTGATATCAAGGGGCTCAAGTAGAAAGAAAATGCTTTGAAAATGATGATGGCAACATATGTACAAATGTGCTTGACACACTGTATGAATGTATGGATTGTGATAATAGATGTAAGAGCCCCCAATAAAAGTGCTTAGTAAAAAAGAACGGAGAAGATCCCCCACAATGGCAGAAGACCCTAGAAGCACAGGGTCGCTATGAGTCAGCATCAACTCGAGTCTGAGTGAGGGAAGTGGTGAGAGATAGTCAATTAGTTAGTATGGCCCTGCTAGCTATCATCTCTTATGGGATGTATTATATATTCTGGCCTCTGTTTGTGGTTATCATGATGGTGATCCCATTGGGGAGGGGATTCACTGCTGTGAATCACGGGATTAAGATGGGATTATGTCTCTACTTTGGTAGAGGGTGTGACTAGAGGATGTGACTTAAGTCACCACCCTGTTTTCCTTAGGGGTATGATCTGCTGAAAGACAAAAAACACACCTTTACCAAAGCCATCTCTCTGTGTACACAGAAGGAGCCTTAGAGGAAAGGTGGTTCCTCATTAGGTTACTAACCACAAGGTCAGCAGTTCAAAGCCATCAGTAACTGCTCAAAGCTTTCTACTGGCATAAAGAGATACAGTCTCAGAATCCCACAGGAACAGTTCTACTCTATCCTAAAAGGTTCAGCTATGAGTTGGACATATTGACGACAGTGAATTTGTTTTAGGAAATACAGAGAGAAATGCTAGGGCCATAAGCAGAAGAACCATTAGTGGATTGTGTTCAAGATTTCTGTTTGAAGCGGTGAAGGCTGAGACCAGAGACTGCATGCAGGACTGCATGAGGACCATGGGACCGAGGAATGGAGCCAGAGGGCAGGGCAAGGTGACTGTGAGACAGGACAGAGGAACAGCAAGGAAACTATAAGACTCTGAGACAGAGCAGCAGGTGGGGATCCTAGCCCACAGAGGCAGAAGCTTAGGGACCATGTGGCTGAGACACTGAGGACCAGAGAGACACTTGAGTGCTGGCTGAGGAGAGGTGTTGCTGTGCAATAAGGAAGTTACCCTTACTGTTTACTGATCTTGACTTGCTGTGACTTGTGCCCTTCCCTAGTAAGTTCCCTTACCATGGGTAACATCTGTAAGTTCTATATGGCCATTGCAACAAATTATCAAGCCTGGCATAGCAACAGAGTGCCATGGGAGGAACAGTTGGTGTCAGAATAGGTACCACACAGGGCAGTGGTTCTCAACCTCTGGGTCGAGACCCTTTTGTGGGGCTCAAATGACCCTTTCACAGGGGGTGCCTAAGACCATCAGAAAACACATATTTCAGATGGTCTTAAGAACTGAGACACCGTTCCTCTATCCATCTCCAGCTGGGTCTGCTCACATGCAGATAAGCCCACATACAAATACCTGGCATGATGACATCATCGCGCCAACCCCATCACATACACCCCATACAAAATACAGGTGTATGCTGAAGTCAAACGGGTGCATAAGCAAATGTGGTGAAAAAAGCCAATGGTGCCCTGCTATCAAAAGATATAGCGTCTGGGGTCTTAAAGGCTTGAAGGTAAACAAGTGGCCATCTAGCTGAGAAGCAACAAAGGCCTCATGGAAGAAGCA